TTTTGTTGTGTAGTATCGCTGAGTACTTTTACGAGTTGTGTCGTATTTTGAAGAGCCCGTAGGGTGAGTCAAAATACAAATAAGAAGTAAAAATACTCAGCGATACTACACAACAAAACGTCTAATAAGTTATTTATTATCCAACACGCCAAACTGTTATTTCAGTGTGGGCGAATTTTTGCCGATATTCATTTACGGGGAGTGCGTGACAGTATACGAAGCGGAACGGAGTTGACGCGTTGTCGTGTTGCTGTTTCTTTTTTCTTTAATAAATGAAGAAATTTCCAAGTCGTCTTGCTGTTTTTCTTCGTTCGATTCATTTAATAAACTTGGATGTATATTTGCCAGCCATTCTGACTCTTCGTCGTCAAATGATTCAAATTGTCCGCCATTTTTTTTCGTAACTACAATTCAATTCTTCGCATGCGCGTTGCGAGAAAACACTAACTCACAAAGAACTAGCCTTAAACCGGAATGATAATGGAGCTAGTTTTTAATTTTTTAAAACGTTATTGATCCAATCACAATTCTGTGTGCTATAGCAAAGTGTAAACTAAGTATTCCTTGTTTTAATGAAGTGATCTATCCGCACCTGATAGAAATATCCTTTAGACTCATTAGTCCCTTCATAAAGAAAAAAAGCAGAATTGGTGACTGTTGTTGGTAAGAAGCGATCAAGTATTGTTATGTACATTACATATTACCTCCTTCAAAAAAGACTTGAAATACGGTGGAAAATATAGTTTAGTTTATAGTTTATTAGCTTCGCCAACAAGTAGGGACACCGCAACAGCTTGCGTCAATTACTGCTGGCCCAGTAAACCCACCCATCCTAGCCCAGGGGAGGACATCCATCACACAGTAACCTCGTCCGTGGTGATAATTNATTCCTGTTAATCATGCCTCTCCTATGCCATTTAAGCCACCTAACTTAAGCGAACGTTCAAAGTTTGACAACGTCGTACACTGAAGAACAGGGAAAAAATGCGGTCGGAAAGCGGAACAACAAAGTGGTTGCACAGAACGATCCATAGTTTGACTTTCTTGGTTTTTTTAGAATCAAATTTCTGAGAACATCGTATTTTTTTTTCTGTTGATCATAAAGTACGCTTTAAAATAACTGAGTGGTCCTCAAATTTCAGCAACAATTAAGGATACATCGATAAAATAAAGTTAAAAGGCACTAGCATTTGCTTTGCTCCCAGGATGTGACGTCGCTGCTTAAAAGGAATCAACGCCCATCCCGGTTATTTCGAGGCATAGTTGCGAACTAAGTCTAAGCCGGATGATTGTTTTCCATCTTTCACCCAGATTTCTTGAGATAGGGAATATTTATGAAAATCATTTCAAAATACGTTTTGATCTTTAAGGAAAACAAAATCAAAGGGAAGAGATAGAGTCAGATGGAAGCTATTCTGCTCAGCATTCTTCAAATAATACTTTTTGCAGCATGGAACCGCTTAAAGAATTTTAGGTCAAAAACTTTTTCTGTGTTTGTCGGCAGTACTTGATTCTATGAACAAAAGAGATTGCCTCTTTCGCTTTCTTTCTTTTTTTTTTTCAACCAAATACCTTGTGTAAACGTTTGGATGGCGACTTAGATCCTTAAACAGCTCTGAACAAACGATCTCCAACGCTCTCCAAAGGTACAGGTGTTTTGTGCATTTTGAGCTTTGGTGTTTAAGACTGATTATGGCAGCGAAAAGTCCTATTGTCCTATTGACCTATTCAGTTTCATAGCGTTACTACTGTAAGGACGTTCCCTATATTTCGTATGCAGTATGTACTCATGATCAATCGGGTTTTAAATCTACTTTCCTAAGAAAATGACTAGCACATAACTAGCACTAACTAGAAATCTAATAAAGTTTGTCACTGATTCAAATGTTATTGTTGATATAATAATCGATGCATTTGGTCATTTTCTTTCCTGGAGTCATCCTTCCTTTCATGATGGAGTTGCAAGGAACAGGTGAGGCAGTGTAATTCAAATTTTATGTATCTTAAAATGAATAGGAAAAAATATTATGAGGCTGATTTATCAATGAGTTTTGATTATTTACAATAATAAATCATAAATGTTCCGTTGGTACATCAGTCCGATTGGGGATCTAAACGTGAGTTGAAGAAACTAAACAATAACTGAACAAGAAAAAATAAAGAATAACAGCGCTTTCACCCTGATCTCCCTAATTTTGACCCTTAACACTTAGGTGATTCCTCAGTATTGCATTGCGCATCCCGTATTGCGCATAAAAATCACGCAATCGGGTGAAAAAGCGCGCGCATTTCGAGAACGCGATATTGTTTTTCAATCAATGGACTAGGTATAAAGGTACAATGGTCCTCAGCTCTTGAACGAGCACGTTGACCTGTATTTCTTATTGCATAATTTTGGTGTACACATTATCCCGTTTAAACTGGAGGATATTAAAAAAATCGTCGACGGTAAAAAATATACAACTAAAAGTGTGCAAAAGTCCTGTTGATGTACCGTGAGCCGATGAAATGACGCGTGTGGTTAGAGCCAGCACAGG